TCTCTTATTTCAAAATATAAGATGTTTTGGCTAAAAGCATGGAGATTAAGAAATTACGTTTTTTTTTCAAAAACTATTATTTAATATATAGAAAAATTAGCATATATATTAGTCTCTCCACCTATAATTAATTATCTAACACCATGTAAAACATAATGTGGTAACTAGCATTTAGGTTAGACTAAATTCTGGTTTTGCCTTTCTATAATTAATACAGATTTTTATAATTTAAAAAATAAAAATAAAAACTTTCTTTTTTTTTCAAAACTTTTCTTTACAGAATTCTCATTACATAGCTAATTATATTGTCCATTATCAAGAGATGGTTACATGTTACATAGTTAACTATATTTACACAATAATCATGACATAGTTAACTATATTGTCTATTAACAATGGATAGTTAGTTATACGTGTTACATAGTTAACTATATTTAGACAATACTAATGACATATCTAACTATATTATCCATTAACAAGAGATAGTTAGCTATATGTGTTACATACTTAATTATATATATACAATATCCATGACATAGCTAACTATACTGTTTACGGACACAATAACCACATTTGAACAACTCATCCTGCTTAGGTTTGAAATCCCGAACACCAGTCTCCAAAACAACTCATTCACTCAACATCACAACAACCATAGTCCATTTTGCCATCTGAAACAAATAGTTAACTACGATATTGGAATTATAGCTAACTATAACAACATAAAAGAAAATCGAATATAGTCAACTATATGTATTTCTCTTTCCTTTTTGAGATCCACCGCCAACCTTGATTTCCATATTCTCCACCACTGATTTTTATGGATCTTTATTATCAGCAATAACTACTAAATTTAATAGGGGCAAATTTGTCAAAGTATTTCTTCTCTATGCTACTCATCTAAATTCTTTTATGGACATGTTAGTATCTTAATTCATTGCTCAAAACATAATATTGAGCTAATTAACCTTAATATATAAGATAAAAGTAATTTCACAAATTATAAATAAGACCGCAGAATATTATTGGTCGCACAATATTTAGTACCGTAAAAAAGTACCTAGAATTGTCAAAACGTCTTATATTGAAAAAAAAACCTCCAAAACATCTTATATTTTGAAACGGAAAGAGTATAATTGAAGCTTATGACCGAATGTAATAGGTTTTTCGGAGATAGTATTAACAAAATTAAGTTTTGATCAAATTTGGATATTTTAGATAATGTTGTGTTTTCGCTTATGATTATATGAAGTTATGATTAATGAAAAACCTAAATGAAATATTGTCCCCAAGAAACGACTTCGTCAACGAGGTTCATTATTTCATACTTAAACGTTATGATTACAAATTTTAGAATGATGGAGAAGAAACAATTAATAATTTGAATAAAACTGGAATCCTTTTAAAATGTATGAATATTTTCAAATGTTTATGATCATCAATAGTCATATGAAAATGATCAAAGATATTTCAAGAGTAACACTTGATAGCATCAAATTCATATCAAACAAAATTCTCAAATTGATCTAAAGATATTCAAGTGAATTAAACACCTTCAAATTATTTTGTTGGTATTTTAAATTAAACTCATTCTAGACGAGATGCATCCGGTGTTAACAACTGTTTCATCACAAATGGTCCTATTTGCATGCTCTCTTCTCTGCCCTAT